TAATAAAATAAGGTAGATCCTTAATACTGCGAGGCAGTATTTAATAGTTCCAATAACTCTCTAAGTCAAAAATTTAGTAACTATGTTGGCAACAGAAGCCTTTTCTACATAAAAAATTTGAAAGCATTAGGCGACTTCGGCAAGCTTTGGTTGGTATACCATTTGGTTAACCAATTGGTACCTGCAACGTTATAGTAATGATGTAAGATACCATTTTGTTCCGAATTCGTTTGGTAGGACATAAGAGAGCCTTAACCTAACTTTATGTTGTTCTTCTAGTTTTAGGAGTGACTAGGTACTGACTGCACTGACTAAAATATATAATCACTAATCAGCACTGTCTAGACAGTACCTTTGAGTAACCTATTGGGTAGTAACTCAGCTTTTTCTGTAAATTTAAAGCTGATTCCATATTCCATTCAGCAAAAAAGTTACCCCATATCTGTCGTTTAAAGCCATTTTTCAAATGATCCTCAAACATTATTTGGCAGTCAAAACATACGAGAAATCAGGCGAAAAAATAAACATATTTGTTAAACATTTCAATTTATTCAAATTCTAATGAACTTCCATTTATTTACATTTTCCAGAGCAGGACAAAACGAAAACAGGCGTAGGTAGCACTATACCAAATTGAAGAACCGTGCTGCTGACCATGGCATCCTATTTGACAGGCCAAAAAGGATACCAAAGTCACGGTGACGACATCATTTTCGTATCCTAAATTGGTTGGTATGCATTTGACAGACCAAACAGGGTACCAAGCCATGTACCAAAGCTTGCCGAAACCGCCTATTGACAATTTTACATTGTATTGCCAACATAATGTCATTTTGACTTTTATCTTTAAAGAAAAAAACAGATTTTAGTTGCCTTCGAATGGTTGTTCAAAGTTGGTATTACGCTCGGGTTTAGACTGAATACTTTATTCAATTGCATAGCAAACTGTTCACTCAAAATCTTCTGGATCAGTTATTAATGTATTATCATCGTCTCTTATCGATAATGATGATCTAGAATTAGGACTTTTTGTTACATATTGAAAGAATTGCTTTGATGTGCCATTCGTTGCTATTCCATTCTCAAGTTCGTGCTTCTGCAATTATTTGTTATAATTTATTACATTGAATCCTATAGGTATTCTCGTTGTTGACATAATATTTCCTTAAAAATATGATGATTATACCACGGTTTTTGTGGATTGATCTTCACATACACTTCTGGAATGGACTTATCTATTGTCGAGCTTAAAATATTTCCCAATATCATTGTACACATATAGTGTTAGTGGGCATTATAGTTATAGTTGGGGAGCTGGCGTCAAAAACATGCAAGAGTTTTCGCAAGGCGGATATTTTCAAAATAGGTCGTACTTTAGTGTTAGAATGCTAGTGTACAGTCAGCACTCACAGTTCCGGGACAGCTGGCTCTGGGACGCGGGCAAAGTTGTAATTTTAAGAAGCATCTAAACTGTTTTCTCAAAGCTCAAAATTTATAGAAATTTTGCACATTATCTGTTTGAAGGTCACAGATAACGTATGTAAATCGTCAGACGTCTAGTTCGTTGCAAAAAGGGGGTCAGACGTCCTCAAAGTTTTTATTTTATGGCATTTTCTTCGGTGTCCTGTCAAAATATATTTTTGCAGGTATTTGACAAATATATTTGAAGAAAATGCCATAAAATAAAAACTTTGAGGACGTCAGACCCCCTTTTTGCAACGAACTAGACGTCTGACGATTAACATACGTTATCTGTGACCTTCAAACAGATAATGTGCAAAATTTCTATAAATTTTGAGCTTTGAGAAAACAGTTTAGATGCTTCTTAAAATTACAACTTTGCCCGCGTCCCAGAGCCAGCTGTCCCGGAACTGTGAGTGCTGACTGTACACTAGCATTCTAGCACTAAAGTGGGACCTATTTTGAAAATATCCGCCTTGCGAAAACTCTTGCATGTTTTTGGCGCCACCTCCTGGACTATTAACGTGATATCTTGAAACTGTTCTTGCAAGTGATTATTAATAGATACTAGGGAATTATTGAAGAGTATAAAATGCCAGGCACTAATAGCGCTAGGCAATATTTTGACGTTTTTGAGACGTGCGCGTTGTGGCAGTACTGTTAATTTTTAGTGCCGCCACTAATAAAGTTTATTTTCTACTTAACTATTATAGATCCATAATACCTAGGAAACGAAATACGTTAACACACCTATAACAACCTGATCCATAACGCCCGCTTTTGCGGGCGTTATGATCTATAACGCCCGCTTATAATACTCTTAGGTATTTTTGTTGTTGTTGTTCTATTAATTTGCACTTTACCCTCGACAGCCACTAAATGTCTCACCGAAAATAATTTTCGGTCTAGCCAGGATTCGAACCCGGTCTACCATCAACGTTTCCCATGTAGTCTAGCGCGTTAACCCACAGGACCACCACAGTTGCCTTGCCTTATGAGATGTTTATAGATATATTAATTTATTTCGTTTCTATGTACAGGTCGCAGGTACAGGTACAGGTCACAGGTACAGGTACATGTCAAGATACAAAACAATATTCTGTCACACAAGTTTAACTGATTTTGGTAATAATAAATTGATGAAAAAACATTGTGTTGAGTAGAAAATAAAGCATTGTATGCACCACGGGGATTTTGAGATTATAATGCCCTTCAGGCGAAATATATCCCTCGGGCCATAGACCCTCGGGCTAGTTTCGCTTTCGGGCATTATAATCTACATAATCCCCTTGGTACACAAATAGCTATTGTGCCTTCCACTATTTGTGGAAAATAAAAACAGGCCATAAACAGGCACAGTCACGTCCCTATGTCTCTTCTTTTTTTTTGAGTTGACGTCCGTCAAGGCTTATTCAAAAGTTGACCTCACTTTTTTATTAATTTACATTTATTGGTTTGTTCAGAATCAGTTCTGAATTGAACTGCGCTTGCGCATTGGTTTACATATGTTCGATATGAATAGAGCAAGAGCAGTTCAATTCAGAACTGATTTTAAACGAAGTCCGACCAAACCTATTTCTTCAATTTCCAGTGACAGGTTAGTGGCTTCTTAGCGGTGTTCGGTGTTGTGTTTTTATAGGTTTTTTGCCGATTTGCCTGTTCTGTTGATTGTATGTGTTGGAATGGGCTCTTATGAAGAGAAAGACAGTTTAAAATCACAAATGCTTCGTTTCAATGACCACGGGGCCCCATCATTCTCGTCCCTTGAAATGTTGTCTAGAATGACGTATCCCACATCGTCATCATCATCATCCCCATCCCCATCCCCTTATAATACGGCCTCCAATATCCTCCATTATAGAATATAGATGAAATAACAAAACAAACTCAACAAAAAACTACAAGAAGAACCACTAGAAGAACACTAAACACGTATTTATACTTTGCAATTTTAGGTTAGGAATATGAAAATAAAACATGACATGCCACTGCCAAAGTTCACCACTGCCGACTTCAATGTGTCGTTCAATAATTCCTTTTGTGAGCCAAAATAGCGCCTGCCACAGTCAATTTTGGGTCGGCACTAAAGCGGCACAGTCAACTGCGGCCGTATTTCAATAATTCCCTACTAATGCAGTCTGTAAACCAGAAATTACGCCTGAGTATATTTTGAGCCGGTTTAATAATAGTTTTTATCCCATTTTGACATTTAAAAATGACATTATTGAACACATAACAATAAACCAGTAGACGTTTACCACCTCAGTGATTTAAAAACATTTTAACTCACTCTCGGCATTTTAAGTCACTCTGCCCAACTAAAAATCTGAAACCTCGAGTGATTTAAAATATTTTTAATTCACTCCCGGAATTTTTCCTTGTACTTTATTTTTCAAATTTCCACAAAAAGGGATAAAATTTTGTATACATCACGTGAGTTAAAATGTTTTTTCATTCGAAGAAAATTAACCTACTCGTTAGGGCTCGTGGGTTAAAATTTCTTCTCATGAATAAACATTCATTTAACTTACTTGGTGTATAATTAGTAGATTATACCACGAGTCAATAATGATAGCTATTATTCCCGAGGATTATTACGAACTGAGCCGCGTTAGCGGCGAGGGAGTAACATTCCGAGGGAATAATAGCCATTATTGCGAGTAGTATACTCTACTTTATTTACGACAAATTAATTTATTTGAGATTTTCAATGAACAAATTTCATCCGTCTCATAATTTTCAATACAAATCCACAAGCACTACACGTTTGACACTGACACTTTTGTGGAATAATGACCATTAATCCCGCTACTCGTCATTAATCCCTGGAGGAATAACATATGTCATTAAACTGCCAAAATCACAAATATAATACGCACATTATACATTAGTCGTAAATAAATAACTATTATCTGCGATTTGGCAGCAGGTAATTACTAAATGATCACGTTTTCCGACTGGTCATCGATTGCGCTTCATGTCGTAAACAGAGTTTTTTTGAATTGCACAAAGGAGGTTCAAGAAGAGATGAATTGTTGTTTCTAAGTCTCGTTGGAAATGTTGTTAATTGATATGCGTTTATTTCCTGGTACATATCTAGGAAGTCTTGAGATTTTTTATCAGCAACTTACAGAGCTGTAATTCCAGTTTATATTGAGGTATAGTTAAAATCGCCCATGATGCATGAAACTGGGTACTTGGGTAGCAAAGGCTTCTTTAATCTTGCTGATCATTTGTAAATAAATAGCTTCCGAAGTTTGAGAAGTTTCATAAAAGATCAGAACCATAGGAAAACATTTCCTTTCCCATATTTTCAAACATGTCTATTTCGAGAAGGTTTTAGTTAAATCACCCATTTCCAGGAAAGTGCGTGCATAATCACGTTTACTGGAGCTTTTAGCCATTTATAAACTTCAGACAAGCTTAATATTATAAGATTAGACTGTGGAAGCCTCACACAGTTAATCACGTATTAGGTTAAATTAGATTGATGTTTTCCATTCGGGCAAATATTCGAAAAAAAAAAAACGGAAACTTACCATAACGAGCTTCTTCTCCTTCCAATCCTTGTTCTGTTATAATTGCTAATTCCTTCTCTAAATCCACAAGGCAATCGTTTACATTCCACGACAGCAAGCCTGAAACAAAAAAGAACACTTTATGTAGATATGCACAAAGTTCAAAATAGTCTAAGTTTACATGCAGCAAATAATGAGTTTCTAATGAATATTGCCCCAAAATTTAAATTCGCAAAAGGTCAAGTATAGTTAGCTCAGCTGCACTGCGGTATAGATTTCAACTTTGCCACACACACAATTTTAAATGCAAACAACTTTTTGAACATAAATAACGGAATTTCTGGCTTCGAAAAGCTGGGTAGAGGTTTTGTGGGAAAATATATACGAAAATTGGTGTTAAAGGTATCGATTTGGCAGAAAATAGGTGAAGAGGCGAATTTTGATACAAGCTTAAGGATATCATTGAATCGCCGTAACAGAAAAATAATTAAAAAATTTCATTTACAAGAGCATCTATATCAAAAACCATCCTTAACCGTACCTCAATCATTTTACAATAACTCTCTATTTTAAAATCCTTTCCAGTTTCAAACAAAATTATAATCTAAGAAATTGCCCTAACGTATAATAAATTCTAATTGATCCTAATCACTTGATTTGAATTGAACTCTAATAGGAGTAGACAGTTTCTGTCAATCAACATCAATTACTCTTGAAGTGATTCAATAATTTGTCACAGTAATTTAGCGAACACTTCAAAGTTTTCAAATTTTGTGCCTTCTGCTTTAGGCGCACAAGTTTCTTATCTGTTTATTGATTTACTTAAAACTTTCATAACTACTTTGAACTTCCTTAATTTACTTCAATTTGGTGTTTCGCTATTTCTGCTGGCTTTTTATGTGACCAAGCTTTAAGCGTTGTAATCTGTTGTAATAATAAATGCGTTTTTCTCCAAACGTCAAAAAACCGCCACTTTGTCAGCACCTGTCAAGACGTTAGAAATTTAATTTCTATGCTGTGGCCGGATCCTCGGGCCAGGGAGTAGAGCTCCCCGATAGAACGAATGTTTTGTCCTTGTCAACGTTATCGAAAAGTGAACAAGAATGATAAAGACGAAAAATTTGTTCTCTCGGGGAGCTCTACTCCCTGGCCCGAGGATCGGCCACCTGGTAGGCAAATCCAGCGGGTTAACACCTGTCGAGTTGGTAGAAATTTAATTTTTCTCCCAAACGTCAAAAAAACATCACTTCGTTAACCCCTGTCAAGATGTCAGAAATTTAATTTCTATGCTGATAGGCAAATCCAGCAGGTTACCACCTGTCGAGGTGGTAGAAATATAATTTCTATGCTGCTTGGCAACCCCAGCGGCAGCAAAAGTACTTTTAGTGACGCTGAGGCGGCAGCAAAAGTACTTTTAGTGCCGCTCGTACTTTTACTGCCGCTCAACCATTCAGTTACCCCCGAGCTTACCCCATTCGTTTGGAGAAAAAATAGTGTGTTGCATACGGAGTAGAAGCACTTTTTTGTGCTTCAGCAGTATTGCAAGCCTCACTACGTTCGGCTCGCAAACCTACTGCTTCAGCACAAAAAAGTAAAGCTTCTACTCCTAATACAACAATATACTATTATTTAGCAAACAATATGTTACAATATGCATGAAAATTTGTAAATATGTTTTTTGTTTTTATTAAATTACCTAATTAAAATGCAAGAATTCTGATTTTCCAATAAATAGGTAGTTTTTTAATATTCATTTTTATAGAAAACACGCCGCTACTGGTGATACCACTGTGCTCCGTGTCAAAGTTTATGTCATCGATCCACGTCAGCACCACAGATTAACCCGTCCTAGGACGGGTTAATCTGTGGTCAGCACCTCTATGGTCAGCACATGTCAGGGGGGTGAAATAAATAAGGGAGGCACGGCAAGGTTTTTAAAAAAGGGGTGGCCAGGCGAAGACTAGCGGTTGTTGTTGATAATGTTGATTAGTTACGAATTATTATTAATAAATGTTTCACGTTCAAATTGGAACATTTCTTATTATTTTTTAAAAACAGCCAATTTTATATTTATACAAGTTTAGATTTAGCCAGCGGCTATCATCAGATTCCGATCGAAGAGTCGTCAATTCCCAAGACTGCATTTATGACGACTGATGGCCATTACGAATATTTGCGTGTTCCTTTTGGATTACGTAATGCTCCTGCGATTTTTCAAAGGACAATTATAGGTTTTTTATGTTATATTTAAGATGACGTCAGAGAACAAGGACTGACAATGTTGTAAATGCCTATTTGTTTTCTTATAATTTTCCAGAATGTCATAATGAATTAGGCTCTCCAAACCAAGGGATTTTTCAATATGGCGAGCGTGGAAAATTTGACGTTTGTTTGTTTATCTTGAGTTTATTTGGAATAGCTAATTACAGTTTACTTTGTTATAATATACTTTTTGAGATGCAGAGTAAATATTAGATAAGACTTGAATGCAGGAAAATCGGGATGTGGACGAACGGTTAGTTTGAAAAAATGTCCAGTTGATATTTTGACCCACAGTTTTCACAAATTTCAGATCAATGAGCAAATGAAGGCCTAGAAAAGCTTAGATTCGCACAGGTATTCTGAGTCTGGCTTAATTTTAGATGCAGGAACAGTGGTAGCGAAAAATGTTCACGTTTTAATTGGGAAATTTTAAAACAGAGGGCAATGAAGAAAGCCTGACATCGTCCTTGTTACCTTGTTGAAATTACTTCCACAATGAACTACAAGACACGTTTGTGGCATTTTTAATTGGAAGAAACACTAATGAAGTCTAAAAAATAAAAAAATAAACAGTTCATTCACAAAACAACCACAAAATGCACTTCAAAAAGCTTTAAATTCCATACTCTCATATACAGAATAATGAACTTCCGCCCACAACGCACCTTTTGACAGGTCGTTGGAATGCCTAATTATCAAGACCACTGACAGCCAAAAATAAAGAAATGAATCGACACGCGTTATTTATTTGAAAATGTTCATTCAAATCATGCAACATCGCGCGCCGTTGCCAACCAGAAACATCTGAAATTCCCATACTTTAAATGCGTTAAGAAGTACTTTTAGTTTTGTTAGATTTGCAGTAGAAATTTACTAAATGTGACGTCATCCTAAATATAGGGTGAAAATCCTATAATAAAGTCTGGATAAAAAATGATTTTGAGTCTGGTTTAATCATGTTGAAAACAGTGTTTAAATCCATTAGAGCAGCTGGTCTAACTTTAAGATTACCCAAGTGTCAGTTCTTTATGGAGAGAGTGGAATATCTTGGTCACGAGATATGCAGATCCGGTGTTCAACCTGGAAAACGAAAATCTGAAGCTATTAAAAGTTATGCAATCCCCACTGATGTTCATAAAGTTCGACAGTTTGTTGGGTTTGCTAGATACTTTCGGAAGTACATACAGGACTTTGCTACGATCGCTCGTCCTTTGACATTCCTAATAAAAAAGGATATTACATTTTCTTGATTGATTGAATAAAGTAAAGCTTTTGATACTCTCAAGGAAAAATTATCATCACGACCATTACTAGCTATATATGATTCAAGTTTAAAAACTGAAGTGCATACGGATGCATCAAAATGGGGTATTGGTGGCATACTTTTGCAATAGCAAGCTGATAACACATTGAGACCTGTCATGTACTTTTCTCGCCAAACCATCAAGGAAGAACAGATACCACTCTTACGAACTTGAAACCATAGCTGTGGTGGATGCACTGGAACATTTTCGAGTATATCTTATTGAAATTGAATTCAAGATTGTCACAGATTGTAATGCGGTCAGAACTAAGCTGTGTACAAGAGATTTGATACATCGTATTGATTGGGAGATGGTGGCTCTCAATCCAAGAATTCACATTCAATATTGAATACCGAAATGGTCTTAAAATGGCACATGCATGCTAATGCACTTAGCCGAAAACCTGTGACGATTGCAGATATTTTCGTCGGTGATATCAATATTTCCAATGAGGACTGGGCGCACATAGATAATGGGTCGTACCAAGGTCAGCAAGACGGCAAGTTCTCTTAAATTTTCATTATGGCATTGGGCATTTGTGAGTCGAAAAGACTATTTCTGCAATAGGTAAACTTTATTGGCTTTCTGGTATGAGAAGATACCTATGTCAAGAAATACATATAATGTTGTTTGCCATGCCCATACAATAAAGAACCTGGTGGCAAGTAAGCTGGTTATTTGCACTCAATAGAGAAAATAGCTGTACCGCTTGATACTCTCCATGTGGATCACTTGGGTCCTTTTCTGATATCTACAAAAAGAATAAATACCTTATAGTTTTAGTTGATGCGTTCATGAAGGCTGTTAAATCGACTCAAGTAAGACCAATCATAGCATATCTTAATAGTGTATTTGAGGAGTTTGGTGTTCCACGAAGGCTAATATCGTATAGAGGCAGCTGTTTTACAAGTAAAGAGTTTAACAGCTACTGTCGGAATCTGGATATCAAACATGTCCTGAACGCTTGAACGCTACAGCTACGCCCAGGGCAAACGGGCAATTTGAACGTTTTAATCGCACAATTTTGTCTACTTTCTCCACGTTAACGGAACACCAGAAAAATTGGACGAAAGTGTACATCAAGTACGTTCGGGTTTGAATTCCACGACGAATTCCACCACAGGAAAGTCCCCATATGAATTATTTTTTGGTTACGCTCCAAGAGGTGTATTAAATGCAGTTCTAGATAACGAAATAACTCTAAATCAACAAGAGCAACTCCTCACGAAATAAGCAAGTCAAAAAAAAGGCAAGATTCGATAAACATAGAAAAGCTGGACGCATCAGGTGATCAAGTTTTAGTTAGGACCAAGATAACGTACAATGATGGAAAACGCAAAAAGCTGCTTCCAAAGTTGAATGGTTTATACGTTGTCAGTAAGGTTTTGAGTCATGACGTTGTGGAAGATCCCAAGGGCTCTTTACGTTCTAAGAGAAAGTATAAGGGGATTGTTTCACTAGACAAGTTAAAGGCCTATGATGTAGAAGTGAGCTCTGATTCTGACGATGAGAGTATTTTGACTTAAATTAGTATCTATTTATTCATTTTAAATA